CAAATAACCAATTTTCAGTTTTGGTTATTTAGCAAATAACCTTTTTTCAGTTTTGGTTATTTACAAATAACCAGTTTTCAGTTTTGGCTATTTAGCAAATAACCAAATTTTCAGTTTCGGTTATTTAGCAAATAACCAATTCTCAGTTTTGGTTATTTACAAATAACCAATTTTCAGTTTTGGTTATTTAGCAAATAACCTCTTTGCAATTTTGGTTATTTAGCAAACAACCACATTCATGTTTTGGTTACTTATAAATAACCAATGTCTCGTTTTGGTTATTTATAAACAACCAAACTGCAATGTGGTTATTTACATATAGCCATACTTGTTTTGGTCATATACAAATAACCACTCTAAATAATAAAAATACATTTGGCGCCCCATAATTCAACCCCGTAAATGTGTTCAACTGGCCTTGGTCAGTCTTTCTGTTGTATTCTTTCAAAGTTACAAACCATCAAAAAGATGAGAACCGGTACGAGCCACCTTAATCAGGACAGAACTGACGCTTTAGTTCGATAATTTACTTGATTTTCGTTCAGATCTTCAGTAATTTCCATCCAAGTTTACCCAGTTGTTCGCTTAGCTCACCTTGAGCATATACAACACAGAGTTCTGTCCGCTGTCACTACTAAATAATCTGACCGCTTTCGTTGTTTAACCAAGTACCATAACATCATTTTGACGAAGCGAGAACCAATGTAGAGCTACAGATCAGAGGTCTTTGTTTGCTTCAAGAACTGACTCACCTGAAGATGATAATGAAGTTTGTATCTTTCCGAAGCTGAAGGAAATTCCGGTCTTACCGCTTGACTGATTTATTTTTCTTCTGTCTCGGCTTTGCGTTCGACAACTAATGTCAGCACCGTTAGCGCTCACATTGAGGATTCCTTCTGATGTTCTGTGGCTTTTAAAATTATGAGTCGCCAGAACTTAAATGCCTTCACAACTGAAGAGATTATACTACTGTTTCAACCTACAAATAGAATAATACGTTGAAAACAATTGCTAAACAAGTTCGCTTTGTTACTTTTTGATTTCCACGAATTCAGCCCTGTCTGTTATCTTTACCATAAAAGGTATTAACCATGCCTTTTTCTCGGAAATGTATACATATAATTAACCGGCGTATAATATTTCATTCAAATTACCTACCTAAGCAGTCATATCGTAGATCGTAGCACGTGGCGAAGCTCTACTCAAATTAGCGGGTTCAAGTAAATCGTTCAGAATGAACTGTGCAACATCTGCTTTGATTTAACCCTGAAATGACTGCGGAAAGGTGAGTTAAAGAACCTTAATCTTTCTTGTTTGAGACCTTCCGTGTAGGCAGGGAACTGAATAATCTCGCGTCTTGGTTAACTATTACTGAAGCCAATGTGCCAGAATGGTAATATACCAGCCTCCAGGTCCTACACTATATTACTGACTGAAGATGAGCAAAGGTTTAACTGTTGTTTCGAAAGCTGAAATAATCATGAATGACAATGTTTTTTCCTCCTCAATTTTCTTGAAGATCAAGAATGAAAACCGGTGTAACCAGTTTTCTAGTCTAATATGTTTACTTTGCCTGATTTTCTCGGAAACGAGATGGGATCAACACAATGATAGAAACTGGACCAGTTTGGCTTTCTCGGAATTGCAGAAGTCTTGAATTCTTTGAATTATTTCCAAATGGATAATTGTGGCATATTTCACAAATTAACATTACCGGTAAAGGTCCAACTCCCAGATTATCCGGATACATATGTTCATCAAATCTTCCAGGCTAACATCCTATCTCCAGATTTACTCGAATCAAAATGATTTTCGATTTTAAAACTTATCTCACCATTTCTCAAAGCATATTTATGCAACCACATGTTGGCAAGCTAAACAAAAGATTTTTGGGAAGGGAGACCAATTTGAAGGGGGGGGGGGGCTTAAATTTTTTTTGCAAGGGGATGTTTGAGTTGATGCTGTTGTAGCAAAAGGGAAAAATCTTGAGATTGAAAGCTTATAAATGCAAATGATTAACTAATTTGCTCTACTCAACATGAAAGTGGATATTTCAGTATGGGGCTGATGTTTCAGTCTGCGATAGGCCATTGTGCCCTGCTTTGTGAAAGTTATGAATTGATACAGATAATGGAAGAAAAAAAAGGAGAGATTCTGGATTTCTATCACGGCTTTCACAGCAATGTGTAAGATGAGGATTTTTGTGTTGCTCTTACCAGCATTGATTATGAACATTGGTTTGTGATGCACAGCTTTTATTTTTGTCAACATTTGGACACAATTCACCAATTTGAAATTGATCTGATGAGAAGTATATATTTTGTAGTGTAATGTGCTTCTGATCAAGTGATGACTTTCAAGTATGTTTTGGCATTCTTATCATGCATAGCTTTCCAATGTATTAATATATTTCATTACTCACCTATTTTTTATCTTTTTATTCAAAGTTTATCTCAACATGCAATTAATGAGATATTTAGCTACCCAACTTCTAACAGAAAATGTATACCATGTGTTTATTGGGCTGTGACAGTTAGGAAAACAGGGCACAAATAAAAACACAGTGATCACTAGTAGTTGAATATTTATCCTGATCATTTGAACAGTGATATGTTGTCTGCAAACATCTTTGATGCTTTTTTCTTGGACATGCTGGACAAGTAGGGAGAAAAATCTATATAGCAGGGCTATTATGGCTGTAATGGCTGCATAGCCAGGCTATGGGGGAACTGTGATAAACTATGATTTCTTTGAGTTTGTTTTATTTAATTTAGTTAAAACCATATTTGAAGAGGACAGATTACCTGTAGTCTTTGGTGTTTCACATGATTGTAAGCCTGTACCATTATGGTCCTCCAGGAAAACATGTAATTCTAATCCTGATTTTTCCACTTATATTTTAACATTAGAAAATGTCAAAAGAAGAAAGACAATCTCAATTTCCTACTAATGGAAGTGATACCAGCAGGACACCAAATGCTGGATTTAATGGTCCTCTGGTTGGTGGTGATCATGGTGGCACTTTGGACAGTTTCAGCCATAGAGGGCAACCAAAAAGAGACTTGAAGAAGGAAGTAGATAAAATGTATGAAGAATTTTTGGCTGGATGTCCAGGGAGTCATGGGACAAATGAGAATTTTGGAAATGCAAGTCCTTCTCTAGGACAGTGGAATCCTTTGATGAATGTAGGTTGTTTTGCTGGCAATATAGTCTATTATTTTTTTCTCAGTTTGTGAGCAGGCTGTATTCTACAAATCCTTCGATCTGATTGGTTCCCAGAGCGGGCAGTATTCTCCCATCTGGCTTGCTCTTAGCAGGCAGTATCTGTTTCGTGTTGAGTCTCTCTGCAGAAAATCTCTAGCTTTGTTGAAATTTTTCAGAAAATATATCTCATTTTTTCTGGCTGGGCAGTATTTTTAATCAAAGACTTTGGTCACACATTTTCACTTTGGTTTTTGCCCAAGAATTTATTTCAACATAAATTTTGTTGTACTAAACTTTGTTATAAAAAAGATTGACACTTGGCCTAAAAACCATTTTTACAGTGTAATTTAACAATCCTTTACAAAAATATAACTTAGAAAGTTAAAACAAGAGGTATTTGCAGTTAACAATTACATTAATCAATGTGACCCTTATTCATTTACCATATGAATTCTTCAAAACAATTTATTCATTTGTGAAACAGTAAGCAACGTTTTGAGATCTTCTGTAAATACGCTTTCCCCTATCCTTTGCAAGTCTCTTGAATTTGGACATTTCTACCGTAACTTTCATAACCTGAAAACACTTTTGAATTCATTTACAATTTGACTTTTTGTGACATTCAAAACTGAACAGAGGTAAATCTTTGAAGAATAATGGTGGATGGAGATAAACAATAAATTTTCTGTAAGATCTCTTATAAGAGAAAATTGTCACTTTGGTCTTTTAACTTATGTGTGTTTGCCATACAAGTACTTTTGTTCATCCAAAAGTGTACATGCACCTTTTCTCCTCTCCAATTGACATTGTCAGGTGTCAGATGGTGACAGACACATATTAGTTTACTTGGAAGTCTTTTAAGTTACCTTTACCATAATTAAACTCTTACATGTAATCGTAGCCCTAAACCAATCCAGTTCTTTAGGCAATCATTTGGTTAAGCATTAGAAAACAATTAACATGTTATTCACCAGCCTGGGTGAGTCCAAATTGAGAACAACTGCACTCTCTGTCTTGAGAACTACCCTTGGGGGTATCTATCAGTAAGACCTCGACATGGGGATAAGTATAAGTCATTTTTTTGAAGTTCAATTAACTTGAAGATTCTAAAGTGGGCGAATGTAGTTGCTCTAGAAACATGCCAAAGCTCTTTCTTTCATTAACTCTCCAAATGGGACCTACGGTTTTTTGCATTGGCTACAATTCTCCCGTCTTATAGTTCTTGGTCTGATGAGTTCTTGTTTAAGTGCATCATGCACTGCTGGTCGCCACAAGTAGTGGTGAAGGTCTCACTAATAATCCCCAGAAGGGGATTCATGCAGCAGCAGAGAAGTAATCCATCAACCCTGGGCAGCCCACAGATACTCTTAAACTCAGAGAATTAACTATAGTTGTCACTTATGTCAACCTTACACCATTGAATGTTCCTCCTCTTCTTTTTGTGTTCTTTTAAGGTGAGAGTTGAAGAACTGTTATATGTGAATTCTATCAGTTCTTGGATGCTAGCTACTGCATATACAGTTAAGAGTGACATATTAACACCTTTTTTAAAAAAATCTCTCCCAGGAAAGCAGAACTTCATTAAGTGACACGGAAGGAGAAGAAAGCATCCGCCCTATGAAACCATCTGAAAACCGAGATCAGGTACTTTAAATACCCTCAAGAAAAATTAGTTTTTGAAATCGTAAATGCTAGTTTGCTCTGCACATTCCGTACCCCTTACAGTATGCTTCAGTCTCCTCCATTTTGATGATAAAATATTTCATTCTTCTAACTCTGATTTGCATCAAAATTTGGAATTGTAGCAAATAATTGTCTCAATGTCAATTTTTATTTCCTGTATCCAAACTGTTGTGTACTTTGATATCGTCCTTTCACAGTTTGTCACCCTTATCTTTTTTCAAAGCTTCTTTCATTATTCATGTTATTGTCCTCTTCATTGTATTTGTTTCTGTTCAATAATCCACTGGTTATGATTTTATGTAAAGTGCATTTTAAAATAGCTGCCACATACTTTTGAAATGAATTTGCGTGATGTGTCCCTTAAAAGAGAATATGATATACCAATACATATATCTTATTAACCAAGTGCAAGGGCTGTACTGGGAGAATATTGGCCCGAGGTCTTGACAGTACGGACCGAGCTGCGCTCAGTCCCTACAAAAAAGACTGAGGGCCGATATTCTTCCAGTGCGGCCCTCGCGCTTGGTTTATAAGAGATTTATTATACGACTGAAGTGCGGTATCATTTGGGACCATTCGGGACAGTGCCGGGTCCAATACTTAGAGAATATTGACCGGCAATAGAGCATTTTGATTGGTTGATTTTAGTTATTGTCCCTCTGACTGCCCGAGTCGTGTAATAACATGAAGTACTTCATGTTTAAGTAATGGATGAGCTTCAATTACACATCCATCAATTATAATTGGGATGCTCTAAAGTTGAAAATCTTCAATTTACCCAAACACCAACCTTTTGTAAAATTGTATTAACCTACTACTCAAAAATCACATATGGTGGCAATGATGTCATGAAATCATTCTTGAATAATGATCCATTTATAAGTCGCGTGTGATTTTAAAATCCTCTGCATTGGGGGCTTCAGAGCCACCTTAGATATAGTTTTTCAGTTTGACTTCAATAGTTGACAGTTACAAAGATTTTAGATAGTCAATTTAAGATAATCAACATCAGGCTTCGATTGTTACTTTCTTTCAGCATCGTCGTTGTGTCTTTCACCTCTCTTTGGAGGAAGAAGCCGAATCAGTGAAGCTTCAAACAGAGAAGCCAATGCTTAACAGCTCTATCACGATGAACCTTCATTTCTATCATGAAGAAAGACACTGGATATCGCCCGAACTTTTCATCCCCCCTGATCAACTCGATAGTTTTTGTTATCGTTATGTGGTTAAGTACAAGGAAGGAATCACCAAAAAGGTCTGGAATTTTGTAACTTTCCGTGGAAATGATGAACAAACCTTGAAAGAGACAAGAAATCGCCGGTTGAATAGTGGTAGCGATCAGTATGACATTTTTCGTAATCCAAAGGAAAACATTGGGATGAGGACTATTTTCCGCGGACAACTGTTTTATGTCAAGTGGCTGTATCAAATATTAGGTAGAGGTGGCGATCTTAAAGATATGTTAATTGAGTGTGAACATGTGGGCTTTGGCCACCCAAGCTATTTGGAGAATGATATTGGTACTTTTTTTCAGTGGGTTGTGGAAAGCACCACTAAAACTCCGTCTCCTTCTCAGTGTGTGTACATATGCTGTCTTCTTGGCCAGTTCGTGCATCGCATGGGTGCCTCAGCTGAGGATTATTGTAGCAGGCTTGAAACGAAGGCTATCGACAGGCTTCTATTGTTGCTGGAACTCTGCTCTTTCGAAGCATTACCTAAAAGCAGTGCAACCTTTTTTAAGGATGTGGCAGAATGTCTTTTTAAAGCTGGATCCTCAACGGGATGTCTACTTTTCATCAAAATTTTCTGCAACCTTCTTGATTTAGAATACGTGATGCAGGTGGCAGACAAGCTTTCCTCACAGTCCTACATGGATCAGCAATTCAATGGACAGGTGCCAAGTGTGCTAGCATCTCTAAACCTAGTTAAAGACGTGAACAGTCGCAACAGATTTTGCTCGTATGTGATAGGGCATGCCCCAAGTGTTGAATGCCTTTGGAATCTGTATGACGCGATGTTACAGAGGTGTCCTGACCTGTTGTTCATCCTCGAAGAAGAATTTGCCCGCGTCTATCTAAAATTCACCTCACGCCAACGTGCAAGAAAGCCCGATCTTCTTCATCCATGTTTTTGGAGTGCAGCACCTGAGAAGTTAAAAGAGAGACTTGCCAGTCCATTCTGCGAAGTGTTGGTTGAACAGATCTCTTCAGAAACCATCTGTTCGCGTGAAAGAACCATCTGTTCGCGTGAAAGACTAGACAGTCTGAGGAGCATTGCTCTCGATCCAAAATTGCAGGCAGCAAATGCATTTTGTCGGCTTATTATGAATGTCTCATCACATAAATCTGTGGAAATGGTGTCCATGATTCTGATTCTCCTGAAAAGCGCGGCATTTCTAACCTGCTGGCGTACGCGATTCTCTCATGAGGAAATGTTGAAAGTATCCTGGAACTGGGTAAGATCACAGTTTTTAGGTAAGAAACACAGCGAACAAATTCTTGCCGTTGTAGAGGCCAGTGCGACAATACGTGCAACAGATGCAGTAAAGACCAATGAAACTCTATGCCGTGCTTTGTTAGAGCAAGTAGAACAAATGGTTTTGAAAGCAAATTTCCAGTCCGTTATGGAAGCAGTTGCGGTTGCACAGAACCGGTCGCCCACAATCCTGCCACGTCTAATTACTCTCCTTAGAATGGTGATAAAAAATAGAAGTGGAGCCGGTGATCTTCGCTCAAGATATAAGCAAATGATACGTCTTCTGGGCTATGATGGTTCAAGAGAAATAGAGAAGAGTTTACAGAAGGTGACACTAGATAGGTGAGTCTCTAAGGAAGTTTAAATCGTATAATGTTGTTGATCAACTCACTTAAATAGTTTCAACGTAACGTACAGTGTACATCCAACGTATCACATCTGGTCAGATTTAAAGAAAAATAGCCTTTTGACCTTGGACGAATCTCGAGTAGAAGGGGAAAAATCTCAAAGTTAATATCCGAAAAAAAAGCTTTCAAAATTGAAAATTTCCCCAAACCCACCCCCTTCCAAAATGATCTTGTCCATTAGAGGGGATACGTACCTCAAAGCAAAAGTTCTGACTAAATTAATCGACAAGGTCCAAAATAAATCCAACAGGAGGAAAAGAGTAAAAGTTAATGCCACTCATAAAGATGGTCTTAAATGCTTATAAATGCAAATAAATAATTAATTTGCTACACTCGGCATACATGTGGATATCTCAGTTTTGGCTTATTTTTTCAATTATTTTTTTTTATATAAATTATAAGAACTTAACCGAGATGTCCAATTTTGTGCAAAAAGTAAATCCCCCATGACTATTAAGCAAACAACCAACCCTCCCCACCCCCTGAGCTTCGCACACAGAATCACTTGTAACCCTCCCTGGGATAGGTTGGTTGCTGGGCTGCATGCAGGTAATAGCCTTGACGTTAAACCCTAGCATTTTTCTTTGGCTAGGCTGTCAATTCCAGGCTGCCAGGCCACGAGTCGGCTTTCGTCATGGATTAAGAAATAATTCTTCGTTAACGTTCTCTTCTTTGAAGCTAGTGAACATGTACATTTCATTTTGTCTCAGAGCCCAGGAAGAGCTTTTAGTCTCTATTGTGGAACTTATCCAAATACAAGGCGAGGGAGAAAAACCAATTTATGTGCAAGAGATGTTGAAGGCGATGATTTCCCACAGCGAGCTTTGGGTACCCTTATTGAGGGCAGTTCACCCCAACAGTACACTTCTGCAACATCCTACTGTGTTAGTCGCCCAGAAAGCTTTGCGATGCTTAACAGATGAACAGCAAAGACAAGGCCTGCGTGTGGAGTTCTTGTTGACACTGAAGAACAACGAGATCAGTCTTCTTGCTGCGTATTGTGTCTTGGTTTCTTCCCAAGAGTCATCAATTGATCAGAATAAGATAGAGGAATGGAAAGCGCTATTGTCGTCGGAGTGCGAAAGGGCTAAAATCTTTTGTGGACGTTTTTCCAAAGTAGAGCAGACATTTCGTTTTCTTAAGAAAGTATGTGAAGGATGTGTTGTGCTCTCAGATGCAGACTCTATCATCGATGAGATCAACAAGAGCTAGAGAGTAAAAGTTAATGCCCCTCTTAAAGATGCTCTTGATGTAAGCTACTGGGGCACACTGGATAAGTTGATAGGATCCTCAGAGACAGCCACAAAGGTTCCAGGAAGTATCATTTTTGCCAACGTTGCACATTTGTGTTTGGAAGAAAACCTGGCGTCTTCTCAAACAGCAATGGGTGAGTTAGCTGTTTCTGCAGACGACCTTCCGCAACACGAGGCTGCTGAGGTGCTGCATCTTCTCGAAAACGAAGGCATGCATCAATTTAAAGAGGCATGTACCAGTTTAACTGACAGCGCGAAGGATCCAAAAATCGTGGATGTTGGTGCGCTCTTGTCTGGTATTGATAGCAAAGAGGCTCTTGGTAGAGAGCTACGTGAAGTTACATCCATCTGTGGTACGTTAGTTCCCAAAAGGAAGGAAGAATTGCTGCAAAACTATCTATCTTTTCCTCTCGTCTGTGCAAAAGTACAACAGCTGATGTCGATTTACGCAGCCCTTGGATTTGAAGATTCTAAAGATGAAGCTGTTACCAAGGATCTACAAGACTTCATGGAGGTATCTTCAAGCCCCGGCAGTGACCTCACGTTGAGACGTGTCTCTGAGATTGTTGAGAAGACAAGCGTGGCTATGGTAAACTCTGAGCTAGACGATACATTGAAGACCATCATGGAAACACTTCAAATGTCTAGTGAACTGATTTCGTTCATGAAAGAAACTGCGAATGAAGACATTCGGATTATAATTGATGCTGTAGAGGAACATTCTGATCAGTTTGTCTCCGAAGCTATCGTCTCGGATTTAATTGATGTACATGGATTTCTGCGCAACATCTTGCGACAAACCCCAAAGGATCCTATGATGTTCCTTGATAGTCTCAAGAAGTGCTACCGAAAGCTCGAAAAGAAATCAGAAATGGCAGCAAAAATCAAAGAGTGTGGCTGTAACGTTCATAGTCTAAGAGGCTTGTATATGAATGTTGCTAACCGTGGAGAGATGACAAAAGAAATAATCAATAACGCCGTTCAGAAAGGATGTTACAGCATTACAACTAACTCTGATGGCTCAAGCGATGTCCAACTCAGTTATCGTCGTAATGAAAGTGCAGCGAAAGAGACGACCTATAGTATGACAGAACTTCACGACCTGAGAAGCCGAGCTCTCCTAATTTTGAATACAGACAAGAAGCAAGAAGAGGTGGGGAATTCAGATGACTCCAGTGCTTCATTTGAGTCTGTGAACCAGACATTACCAACATTCATAAAACAAGTGGAGATGATTACCGACATTGTCAACATTGTCACATTGCTGCGAGAATCTGGTCATCCAAAGTATGAAAGCTTTTGGCAGAACGTTACGCTTACGTCCTCTCACGATATTGAGTCTCAGGCTCGTACCCTGGAGTCTACTTTGGAGGACTGGGAAACATTGTTAAAGCGTTTGCAAGAGCAGCACTATTTCCTCAATTTTTTCCATCCTGATCAGCTGTGGCTGTTACACAAGTTTTTTTCAAAGCGTTTAACGAAAACACAGAGCCAACTCTCGCTGATTTCATCTGTTCACAGCTTGCTGCGTTTTGTGGATCCAAGTGTACAACGTGAAGAGCTTGATGATTTCCGCAGCCTTTACAACGCACCTAAAGGAAACTCTGGACTTAAGGGCGACCTTCAGGCCATTGGAAAGGTTTTGGACAGAATCTTCATTCCACGCCAAAGTATGCAGATGGAAAAGATACCACAACACGATTTGCAAAGAGCTGTCAAGCCCGGGGACCTGTTTGTCGCTGTCCTTGAACATGGCAGTAAGCAGACAGCCAATGTGGTTATGTCATTGTTCGAGAGTACAACAGGCTCTTTTCCACAGCCTAGTCAAGTCCTCTTCTGCCATTCAGAGACCAGTTGGGAAGAGGTTGAGAGACTTCTGAAACGTTCTTTTGAAGCACATAGCCATTCCACTGTGGTCAAGTTACACTGCCTTGCGAACGTCGAAAACCTTTCAAATGACATGCAGTTTGAACTTGTTACAGCCATTAGAACATACCAAAATAAGGTTGAGGGTCCTTATCTGTTAGCGCTAGTCTGTTGTGGAGGTATCCATCACCACATTGCTGATCAGTTCTCTACAGCTGCCCACAACATTGTTGGAATGTCAGAACCAAAGCTACGGGATACTTTCAAGGAACATTTTCCTAACGTTTTCATGGTCACTTCGGATCTTCCTGGTGTGGGAAAGACAGAGGCTATCCACGAGCACGCGGCATCATGTAAAAAGAAAGCTTTGACTCTACCAATCAGTGGGCCTTTGTCACGGAAAAACCTCTTGAAAAGGTTGTCTGGTTTGAGCATTTCTCCTCACGAATGCATTCATTTTGATATTGGTGAAGTGGATGACCCGTTGGTTCTGGACTCTATGATGTTCGAACTGGTTGTTGTGGGTATGATGTCCTGTGGCACAGAACTTTTCCATCTCCCGACCAAGCATGTGTACATCGAAATTGCTAACACACTGAAGCACTGGCTTCAAAATTCACTTCCAATTACAAAGTGTTTTTCTCCTTTGCACGTAAACTTGGTCGGGTATAAAGACCTTGTCGTAAGCCAGGAGCCATTGAGTCCGGTACAAGTGGTCTGCCAGTACCTTCATGCTTACGAATCTGGTTTGTTGGAAACCAAAGATCTGAATCCTGTCAACCTAAAGCCTTTGTCACCTAACCAATGTAAACAGCTTCTATCGAGGCATTTTTCGTCAACGGGGGATTTGTCGTACAACATTGTTGAGAGTTTTCTCAAGGTTTTTGCGGATCAGCTCTTACAGTTTTCAGAAAGTCCTTTTTTCAAAACTCATAATTTGCATGCCGCCTTAGGCCCACAACATGACGTCCGAAACTGCTTATTCAAAGCCCTTTTGGAGGTGTCAAGAGAGTTTGCATCACGGTCTGTTGTAACCTGTAAGGATGTCCAATCAGAAGCCATTTCAAAAGAGCAAGCATCCGAAGTCTTAAAAAAGCTCCATTCGTCCTCAAGGAATGATGCAAAAGAAATGGTTGAACGGGTTGAAGGAATGATTCAGTGGGCTGACAACAATCACCTTGTTATTGCGTTTCACAGACTAGAGGCTTTTACTATTTCTGCTCTGTACCGTGACTTGTCGCTGGTGCCTTCCAATGTACAGAAACTGTTGAAAGTACAGGCGAAGAAAGGT